AGAGACAGAGTGGGGAGCAGAACAGGCAGACTGACAAAGCACACTGCTGAGGGGAGCAGCGAGCGACATGGGAGAGGTCTGCCGCGCCATGTGGGTCACCTCCGGGGCCGGGGATCAAATCCATGTTGCAGTGGCTGTGGATATTGTCACAGTTGCGCTTTAACCCATTGTGCCACGAGGGAGGGCCTCATCCTAGAAAACAACTTTAACAAGTTTATGAAGATACCCTTTGGAGGCCCTCCATGGTGGCACAAGGGACCAAAGTGCACCATGAAGCTATCACAGCCATTGCAACACAAGTTCGATCCCTGACTGGGGGGGGAGGTGACCCACATGGCTCAGCACACCTCTCCTGACCTGCCCAGTGCTGCCCTCAGCAGTATGTTTCAGTTCATCTGCCTGTTCTGCTCCCCACTCTGCCTCTCACTCCCACACCTGTCCTGTACCCTAGTTCTTGTATGCATAAATAAATCTTTTTTTAAAAAAATACTCTTTCCCTGAGGCTGGCCAAGCAACAGGGCTCAGTCCTCTGCATTGAATCACCTGAAGTTCCAGCCTGCCCTCAAGTGTGGAAAGCAGAGAAAAGGGGCATTCCTGGCACCAAGAGAGGTGGCACCCTGCGTGACCATGCCGCTACTGTTCCAGTCGCAATGCAACCAAATGAAAGACACCAACCATTTGTGGTAAGTCTGTCACAGGGAAAAGAGGTCAAAGTAAATCAGCAGAAAGATAAGGCTGTCAAGGAACAGAAGAAAGCGTGCAAGAACTGGCTTCGCTTCCAGCTTTACCAGGGAAATGCAGGCAGATGAAATCCCACTTCCTGGGATTTGCCCTAAAAATCACCTAGCAGTGCCCGGGGAGGGGAAGGAAACAGGTGGGATCAGAGACGGAGCATCGGTTTATTTTCATGATTGTGAAAGCTAAGGCTGACAGCATGGGAGACCCAGACCACTCTATTTGTGTAAGTCTGAGGGTTTTCATGACGGAGGGGAAGTGTGGGATACTTTGAAACAGAGAAATCTGTTAAGAATGCATGCATTCAAAAATCTGATCTCTAAAATGACAAAATATGGAAAATGGAGACAATTTGGGGTGAAGAGACAAAAAATTGAAAGCAACATGAAGGTCATAGAGAAACCCGCAGGAGTCTGACATTCAATCAGCAGGAGTCCGGGAGATGAGGAATAGGGCAAAGGAGGGAGGTGTCATTCAAGAAATATTACACAGGAATTTCTTGGTTTTGCAGAACCTGAGGCCCTGGAATTAAGCTGCATACCCAGAGGGCCTGAGCCCCTAGGGGCACCTGGACACATTACTGTGAGATGATTGCTGAACTGAGAATAAGTCACGATTCCAGATAAAATGAAAAAATACATTTCTTAGAAAGGACCATCCACAGTCTGTGCTTAAATGTTTACCTAGAACTAGACTGATGATGAGAAATTCAAAAGGGGGATATACTGAGAGGAGAGGCGGAGCTCTGGGGAGAGTGGGGAGAGGGTCTTAGCAGTGGGGCTGAAGCGACTGGGAGGTGTGCAGGGCTGAAGGGGAGGCACAGTGTGAGCCCTGTGAGGACTTAAAGTGGGGGAGAGGTCTGAGGGGATATATGGTAATGGGGACCAGCCCATCCTGATGGGGGATACTTTTTTTTTAAAAAAGATTTATTTATTCATGCATAACTGGCATAACTGGGGTACATGCCAGAGGTGCAGGGGTGGTGAGAGGATTCACCAGAGACAGAGCAGATCCACGAAGTACACTGCTGAGGGGAGCAACGGGAGGGTCAGGAAAGGTCTGCCATGCCATGTGGGTCACCCCCATGGCGGGGATCGAACTCACACTGAGGCAGCTGCAGCCAGCTTGCAGTGCTGCATCCTAACCTGTTATGCCACCAGGAGGGCCCATATGGGAGATACTTTCTAATGGCGGGGGGTAAGAGTTCTTAATTGGGGAATAAGTTCTAAGTGGAGGAAGGCTCTTTCCACATAGTTTTAATCAAATGTGAACTAGACCTATAAAGAGTTAGAAAATGTCTCTTATACATGCAATTTTTTAAAAAGATTTATTTAAGTATACAAGAACTGGGGTGTAGGCCAGAGGTGGGGGTTGTAAGAGGATTCACCAGAGACAGAAGGGAGCTGAAAAGGCGGACTGACTGAAGTACACTGCTGAGGGGAGCAATGGGCGAGACAGGAGAGGTCTGCCGCGCCATGTGGGTCAGCTTCCTGGTTGGGGCTCAAACTCATGCTGCAGTGGCTATGGATAACTTGATAGTGCTAAGACTTAACCTCTTGTACCATCAAGGAGGCCTGTACATGCATGTAATTCTTGGATGTTACTTAAAAATATCATAACAAGGAAGTAAAATAAGAAAATAGAACTAGAAAATAATGCATTCAACTCAGGGTAAAAGAAGATAAAAGGATTCAACTCAGATAAAAGCAGCCCCGCAAGGCAGGTGAGTCTCAGGTCCCCAGGAACTGGCCAGATTGCACAGCATTGTGCTTTCCAAGGGGGTCTGAGAAGAAAGGAGACACATTGACTTATGGGGCCACAGAAGTTTTTTTTTTTTAAAGATAAGGATAAAGGCAAACAGTTCAGGATGGGGGTGGAGGGTGGGAGAAATACAATTTGGAATTGCAGGAAAAACAAATGCTAAAAAAAAAAAAGTGCAATATTGACTTTCCAGTTAATACTCTTATCACAGAAAGGGCAGCTCAGGAAATCCTAACTTTAGCTTATGAAGTCAGAAACATTAGCATGAGAAACATTAGCATGAGTATTATTGTCATTACAATAATCCAACAGAGGGTCTAAACGTTGTCATAAGACCCCAGGGAGGTAAGGCTGTGCATACAGCACAGCAGAAGTCAACAGGCACTGGTCCAAAACTGATAAAATTCAAGAAATGCCAATAAATCCAACTACTTAGCTCTATGGGAGAATCCCAGAAGAAACAGAAGTTAAAGCTGTTTTCCTTGGGCTCTGCACAGTTGTTTTATCTACCTCGTGGCCTGGGTCAGGTTGTAGGACCTGGGTCTCTGACTCATCACCCCCAGCGACATAACCTCAGTGAGTGATGTTTTTATGCCCTATTCATCATCTATAAAATGGAGGTAGAAGCTGTATTATAAAGGTGCTGCCTGACCAACAACTTGCATATGGAAACCTGGCATATGAAATGTTTAATGAATACATTGAACAAAATGAAAAATAAACTAAACAAAAAAACAAACCCCAAGGGCCCTCCCTGGTGATGCAATGGGCTGAAGCACAGCTGTGGGTTGTGCTAAAGCTATGGCCACTTTAGCACAAGTTCGATCCCTGCCTTGGAGGAGATCCACATGGCGCCGCAGATGTCTCCTGACCCGCCCGCTGCTCCCCTCAGCGGTGTGCTTCATAGACCTGCCTGTTCTGCTCCCCACTCTGTCTCTGGTGAATTCTCCCACTGCCCCTGCCTCTGGCCTGTACCCCAGTTCTGCATGCATAAATAAATAAATCTTTAAAAAACAAACAAAAAACCTCAAACAGTGAGCCATGCTATGAAAATGATCTAGAAGGATGACAAACCAAAAGCTCATTCCACTGTGCCTCAGCATGGAGACCGCGTGGGTGAGCGCTGCCCCGCCACCCCATGAGCCCCGTGAATGTGCTGGATGCCGCCTGTCTCCATGTGCCTTCCCCATCACTCCCATAGGGCAGTGAGCTCCCTCACAGTCCATCACGGTCACTCTAGACCCAATACAGTCGCTGCTGATGAGAAGATGAACACGTGGGACTGAGGAACACAGGGACGCCATCTTAGCATCCTCAGGCTCTAGGACGCGTCACAGACCAAGGCCATTCAAAGGCAAAGGCAGCGGAGGACACCAACGCCCCCCAGGGCGACATGACCCATCTCAGTACAGACCCCGGGGAGCTGGACCTCCACTCTGCAGGGGAAGGGCAGGTAACAAGCCCACGTGTCTGGCACAAAACCGCCAGGCCCCATCTCCATGGCCACTAGCGGCACCAGGGAGAGGCCTCTTGGCTCACACCTAGCTCAGAGGACCTGCACAGACGCCGGGCCAAGAGACCTGGCAGGGCGGCCAGGCCACAGGCCGGGGCCGGGAGGAGGCAACCTGACTTCCCACGTGCCCAGCGCCTCGACGGGCAGAGAGCAGCAGTCTGCAGTGGGCCTGTGAACACTGCCGGGATGAATGGGCCTTGCTCCACCTTCTTTTTTCAAGCCCCTTTTGTAGAGATGTTGGTGGCAACAAAGGAGAGATTTATCACCGTGGGCCCGGTCAGCAGCTGTTTTCTTGTTGTCCCTTGTTTAACTTCTCTCAGGAGAGCAGAGTTATCTACCCAGCTAAGCAGGTGTTTAAGGCAGGTGATTTTGTTTCCATTAATTTTCTTAAGTAACAGTAAACCAGATGAGAGGGTAGCTCATGTGCTCACGGGGAAACTTAACCCTGTGCCTGCTAAATCCCGAGGGTTATGCCCGAGTAGAAGTTCCGTCTGCTGCTCGTGTCCAGCACGCCCCCTCTACAGCTCGTCCTAGCAGAGCTGAAGACCTGGCCGCCTCCACCCTGCACACCTGGACTGCCTCCCTACATGTCAGATGCAAAGCGAAGCTGGAGGATTTCAGATTCCCAGGAAAGACGTTAACAAAGCACTGCTCTTCATTCCAAAGCCCAGGGAAACCCTCCCATTTAATGACTACGCTCCAAGTTTCGTGTTCTAGACTGCTGTGAGGGGTCAGAAAACAGTTTATTTTGTTCTTTTTGCACTTTAAAGCTCCCAACCGATACATTTAACCTGCAGCTCTGGCTGGACGCTGTGTCCTGAGTGAGAAGCCTGCAGTGCATCCTGCACCCAAACTGTGTTGTTCGCTCCACAGGAAACGTGTCTCTCCCCCCCCCCCACACACACACACTGGTCCTCAGTGGTGCAGCTACATGCAACCCTGCACGCAGGACAAAACCCCCACACTCTTTATGCCTCAGCCCTTCCATTACCTTCCGTTTTCTCCCCCTATGGAGCCATTATCACAAGGAGCAAACATTCGGTGACACATTTCCTTCTCTTTATCCACGTAGTCCCTGTAACAGCTGTAAGGAGAAATACAGACTAGTTACAGGTCTGTGTTTGTAGCAAGTGACATCTGGTGGCTGGAATTCCCCATGCAGATCAGGAACAGAAGAAACTCTAGCATCAGGGAGGGTTGGGAAGCGATGCTGGAGAGGCAGGGCCCCAAGGGGCTCCCAAGGGCGGTTCCAGAGCCTTGGACAAAGAGCCGACGCTCCGTAAAGATGGAAGCCTTGACGGCTGCAGCCACGGCTGGTGAGGCTGCCAGGCCGGGTGCCCTCCACACCGACCGCTACCTTATCCTGAGATCTTCTTGCCAAAGAATGGCCAGATTCCCAAACTCCTACATACCACCTGACAAGATACTTTTAAGTAACAAGAACATTCTGGAAAGTGCTTCAAGGTCTGAAATAATCAGTTCCAAATATAAGAGGTGCACACATCTCAGACGTTTGAATGTCAAGAAAACTTTAACTCTAGCAGATGAAGTGATTAATGTTAACAGGAGTAAAGCTTCTCACCAATACATTAGAACAAGAAACCACCTAGAAAAACCCCAACACACCAGTGAGTAGATTCTGAGGTGACAGAGTTAAGGGTGAGTCCTATTTATATGTGCATATTTTCAAAGTTTTCTACAATGGACATATAAATTTCTCTAGCAAGAAAGGATTCCATTACTGAAAGATGCACAGATATCACTTGGATCACAAGAGAGTTACCCTAAGGATACGAATCAAACTTGAAGGGCCCACTTCAGATCAAAGCAAGGTCTAGAAAAGACAGCTTTAGAAAATGAGCTGAGCCTAGTGGTAAATGATCGGAACAAGACCCCTTTTACAAATTATGTTGCTCCACCTTTAAAACAAATTTTTCTTAGCTTTTAATTAACTCATTTCTTAACTCATTGAGTACTCGTTAGTTAAAAATTTTAATTAATGAGTATAAATGTTTTTTCTTAGGCTTACCTTCTTGTGGGTACTTACTTGTGGGGGAAGGGGTGAGGGGAAGCAGGGAGGTGACAGATGGTAAATGGGCCAGACTCTAGTTTGAAGCTGCTTCCCACCTACTCCAGGGGCTGGCTCAGTGTACCAAGGCCTTCCAGCTCTAGGGGGCGCTGCCTCCCGACACATGCTGGGCGTCATTCCCAGGGGCCCTTTCCCAGCAGGGGAGCTGGAACAGCCCCTGCACCACACCTCTTTCTCTGCACTCCTGCAAACAGGGGTCTCACCTGGCCAGTTTCCTCAGCTCATTATTGATATCATGATTGAAGGGCTGTTCCTTCTGGGCTCGGACCAGAAAATCCCGGGCCTTCTGATACTCAGTCATAACGATACAGGCCTGCCAAAGGACAGAATTTTAAAAAACATACTTTTTTAGGAAAGATGGTATTTTGCAATGCCCAAGTTGAAAAGCACTGCTACTTTTTCCTGGGTATTCGTTTCCAAGTCCTCGTCCTCCAGCTCACCTGTCCACACCGGAAGAGCGCCTTGGCATTCTTTTGGTCAATGAGCAGAGCCTGCTCTCCATAGCGCAGGGCTGAGGTGGGGCGCTCCAGCTTCAGGTACGTAAAGGACAGGTTAAGGAGAATGAGCAGCTTGGCAGATGCCACCAGGTGCTGCTCTTCAGTGGGTGCTGATCGCCGACGGAGAAGCAGTAATGCCTGTGGAGAGGGGAGATAGCCTCTTATTATAGAAAGTCCTGAGAACCCACAAAAAATAACTATGAGAGCTAAAATGTGAGTTCAGCAAAGTTGCAGGACACAAGATCAATAAATGGAGTTAGTTGTACTTCTATATCCTAGCAACACACAATCCAAAAACAAAATTAAGAGAACTCCATTTGTAATGGCATCAACAAGAAGAAGCAATAAATTTAAAGTGCAAGAACCACAAAACACCATTAGCACCAAAGACCTAAATAAAAGACCTCATGTTCATGGATGAGGAGGCGGCAACATTCCCACGTTAATCTACAGATTCAAGGCAATCACTGCCGGATTTTCAACAGCCTTTGGCAGAAGTGGTCAGTTGCATCTGAAAATTCATGTCCGAGTTCAAGGGACCCTAAATCACAAAGCAATATTTGAAAAAAAGAACTAAGGAAGGGGCTCATACTTTCAAATTTAAAAATTTATTACAAAGCTACAGTTGCTAAACCAGTGTGGTACTAGCATAAGCACAGACACATAGATGGGACAGAACTGACAATGCATAATATATAAAGAACTTTTACAGAGATCCTTAAATCTTTACAGAAAGGGCAGCAGTAAGTAGGCTTCTCACTAACAACTCTAAAAGTGGGGGCTATGCTAATATTCCTCACAATCTGAGGGCGGTGATTGCTTCCTAGAATTCTGCACTGCTACTCTACCTGGTAAGTACGAGGGAAGCACAAAGTATCTCATTAGTTATTGGCCCTTTCGTGGTAGGTGTGGTGTGTAACAAGCCTTGGAGGAGGGGTAAGCCTATATTTTTAAAACATACAGTACTTTAGACCAAAACAATTTTTTATTAAATTTTTGAATTAAAAAAAGAAATAAAAATTTTAAATCCCCTGACACACAGGGATGGCCTCAACTCAGAACAAGGGGGTAAAATAAGAGACAGGCTCCAGGTCCACGTGTTCGGACAAGGGTATTTTCAGGTTCTAAGCTTACACTTCAAAGCATTCTTACCCGTTTATATCTCACTTTGGCATCATAGAAACGACCCTGGCGGAAAAGGTAGTTGCCAAACTCCCTTTCAGTAGCTGCCACTTTTAGGACCTTCTGAAGTGGAAACTGGTCCTGTTGCTCCTGAGGCCAAAGACAAGGACACTCAGCGTCACAATGCCAGTGTATAACCAGAGCCATTTGTTTTTCAACCTGAGGTTATGAATTTTTATTTATAGCTGTATGTGCCCAAGCACTGGACCATCACCGCTGCCCCCTCCCCAGGATGGTACAGACCAGAGCCCAAAAGTCTGCATCTTTAGTCTTCCCAGAGATGGTCCCTAAGGAAGCCGTTTGCCACGACATTAGGAGCTGGTGGAACCTGTCTAGCGCAGGGATCAGAACTTCCAACCACCTATCTGTGAGCACCACTCAGGCCTGCTGGTGTTCCTGGAGAAGCTGCTCTCTCTGGGTACACACCAGAACGACACACAGAGCTCTTTTAAAAACAAAATTATACTTTTGCTTTGAAGAACTGGGGTGTAGGCAGAGGTATGGGGGACAGAGGTATGGGAAGATTCACCAGAGACAGAGCGGAAAGCACAACAGGCAGATCAATGAGGAACACGGCTGGGGAAGCAGCGGGTGGGACAGGAGGTCTGCTGGCTGTGTGGGTCAGGTGGTAAAGGCGACCAACCGTGTTGAGGTTTAACCCCTACGCCACCAGGAAGGCCCCACACAGAGCTCTTTTTTTTTTTTTTTTGTCCTTTAAAAACTAGTTTATAATAGTTTATTTTTACATATTTTTGTGCATTTTCCATCTCAGTTGCAATCCCCTTGGGTTTCCCATCACAAAATCACTATCATGCCATCACGATAGTCCAGTGCATTTCCCTCCCCCCAACTGTTTTTGATCCCATTCCCCGCTCCACCCCCAAGGAACGTCTCACAGCACTCATTTTAAATGTGTAATGTGTGTCCTGCCTTTCCTCCCAGATCTCAAATCAGGGCACAGGAGGATGACCCAGACATCTGTGTTGGGGGAAGGTGAGAAAAGTCAGAACCTCACTTGAGGCGCAGCCACCTTAGCCGGGGAGGCACTGGGCAGCTGGCAGCCTGGCCTGGACACCAAGCCCGGCTACCCCACCAGCGTCAGGCAGCGCAGCACCAGGGACACGCGGCGGCCGAGGCGGAGCGCACCTCTACCGCACCAAGAACAGGCTGAAGCCGCAAGGACAGAGGGCCCAGCCATTCTGCCGCCACGCGTCCACACTCCCGCTGCCTCTCAAGTGTCCTGGGTCAGACAATAAATGACCCGGTCACCCTAGTTACAAGCTGTGCAGGCGTAACTTGCCGAAAATCTTTCATGTTCGGAAGCAAATGTTCGGTCTTGTGGGGAGAACCAGGCAAAAGGTGACTGAGAAATGAGCAGAAACTGCGGGTCTCCAACAAACCCAAGCTGATCCTGGCCTCGAAAGTGCACCCAAGAAAAACTTCTCAGGCAGGCAGGTGCGAGGAGGCGGTGCCTGCTCTCTGCCACACGCAGGAGCCTCGCAGAGCAACCTGGGTAGGCAAAGGAGCAGCACCCCCAAGCAGACAACACCCCCATCTGCAAAGTGCCAACACCTGCGCCCCAGGACTTACGGCTGAGAGGGCACAAAACTTGTCTGACTCTGCAGAGTCCAAGAAGTCAAGCAGCTCGATCTCAAACAGGACAGTGGTGTTTGGGGGGATCAAGGGAGGGCAGCCCAGCGTTCCGTAGGCGTAAGTCGGTGTGAACAGAAACCTGGCCAGCTCTCCCTTCCGCATGCTCAGGAGGCCCAACTCCATGCCCCAAAGGGTAATATCTGGAAGAAGGGACAAAGAACTTGGTTGGAGTCTGCCCAGGGTCCTGTTCTAAGGCTGTGGATCTCTTGCCCCCGTGGGCAAACCTCGCCACAGAATGGTCGAAGTCCCTGCACTGTGGTCCCACCTCACTTGACAGTCTTGTCTGCCACCCACCCCCCAACCCAGACTCCAGCTTCTCTACACTCCCAGCATTCTGGCCGCCCCAACTTTGTTCATGCCAGTCCTTCTTCCTGCAATGTCTTCCTCCTCACCCCGTGCCCGGCTCTTACCCTGACTGAAATCTCATTTCAAATGTCCCCTCTCTTCCACGAAGGCTTTCCCAATCAATTATCCCAACTGGAATTAATTGTGCCTTCATTAAGTAAACCCACAACACAGCCAAGACACCCCTCCCCCCATGAACTCATCCAAGCCCGTCAGGGCTGTGGCCTGAATCTGGGTCAGTCCCCTCTACCCACAAACTGAGATTCTTCCCTGTGCAGTGTGGGTAGTAAACATTCAGATGTTTACTTAATAAAGGAACTAAGAAAGGTGCAGTGGTTAAGACAGGATGCAATGATTACCCTGCCAGGCAGACTATCTCCCCGAAACCTGGGGGGGTGGGGATTGGGAGAGCAGCTTGCTGATTTAGCAAAACCCAACCTCATGAAAACCAGCTTGAGTAATCAGTGCTCTGGAGCGTTTTCCCATCCCGGGTCATTCTTCCCCACATCACGAGCCCTTTGTAACCAGCTTCTAATGTGCACGTACCCTCTCCGAGCTTCATCAGCCGAGGCACCCTCCTAAAGCAGTTAGAATCAAACGGCTTGTCCATGTGCTCCAGGTACCCGGAATACTTCACTAGGACAGACGGGAGAGACACAGGAAGAAAATGGACCAAACATGGTCCCAGCTCTCTCAAGTGTCTTCAGTCGTTGCACAAAAACAACAGAAGATGTTCTTCAGTGACCCCACTCTGCAGGACGGGGGGTGAATGTTGTTCCCCACACGGCTCTTGCCCCTCCACCTGAGGTCATGAGTGACACTGGTGGGCCCAGGACAGTCCCTGGATCCAGTGGCGTCCCCAAAGGGAGATGGGCTCCCTGCCTTTCCCTAAAATCCTGAATTGTAGGGCCCTCCCTGGTAGCACAGCAGGTCGAAGTGCACTGCAATCCGCAGCCGCTGCAGCAGGGGCTTGATCCAAGCCAGAGGGTCAGTTACATGGCCCGGCAGACCTCTCCTGACCTGCCGCTGCTCCCCTCAGCAGTGTATTTGGGTCCATCACCTGTTCTACTCCCCACCACCTCAAGTGAATCCTTAATCTCTGCCCCCCCCCCCATGCCTTTGGCCTGGATCCCAGTTCTTACATGCATAATCTTTTTTTTTAAATCTTGAATTATAATAGTAAGTTCGACCATATAAAATTTTAATTTGAGGAAAACCATGGCCTCCCTCCCTCCAAAGTGTAGTGCGACACTCTCAGCTCTCTGTCACACCACCAGTACTCTTGACTTCACCAGGCCCTCCAGGACAGACCTCAGGACAGGGCCCCTCAGGACAGGGCCCCCCAGGACCGGGCCCCTCAGGACAGGGCCCCCCAGGACAGGGCCCCAGGTTGCAGGCCCTACCTAGCACCGACGCCTCAGGAGTCACCAGCTCTCCAGCACCCTCCCGGATGACGTCCTTCAGCACACCCCGGTCTCCAGAGATGTCCAGCATCCTCCGACTTAATCTCTGGTATGGAGACTTGTAGGGAATGAAACACAAGACCTCAGAGTCCTCAGATCATACCCCGACTCCTCCTGCAGGCCCCCGAGCTCCCCGCGCTCCCCCACTTGCCCGCGTGGCCCGCCCAGCTGAGAAGCCCGCAGCCCCGCAGGGCCCTCCTTCGACCTCTCCGGAGGTTCCAGAAGGTCACGAGCTGAGGCAGTGGTTGGGGGAGGGTGGGTGCTTTATACCATGCAGTGGGTTCCTGGCTCCGGCGTTGCCCACTGTGGCGCGGGGGGTCCGGTTCTGGGCCTCGAGCCGCTCATTGTTTCGTTGCAACTGGCGCCAACGGTTCCGCGAACCAGCCAGCGAGAGCACGTGGAAGGTGGAGGAAGTGGGGGCGGAGCCGGTGGGGCGGGGCTAGTGGGAGGAGCAGGTGGGGCGGAGCAGGTGGGGTGGAGCAGGTGGGGGCGGAGCCTGTGGGGCGGGGCTAGTGGG